TTGGTAGATTAACTTGTTTATTAATTAAGGCTGTGGTAACTGTCTGACTTGGTAGATTAACTTGTTTATTAATTAAGGCTGTAGTAACTGTCTGACTTGGTATATTAACTTGTTTATTAATTAAGGCTGTGGTATTATTGTTTCTGTACTGAATTTTCCCTTGAAAATTGACTTTTTGATGTCTTTCCCTGTTTGGGAGGGACACATATTTTCTATGTTTCTTCTTCCTTTTAACAATTAAAACTACGTGAAACCTTTTTAATTTGGGGTCAGTTGTTTTGAATCTTGGAGGGCACACACATTGGTTCAATTCTCCCAGACTCCTTTGTAACTTTTTTTTTATTATTTAGGCCTTTATTCATATCTTGGGGGGTTAAAGGTCAAACACTACAAAAACATTTTGGCCTGTGGTTCTCTCATATTTTGACCAATCTAAAGATAAGACTTTTGCACAAATATACGTTACAACAACTACCCTACAGAATGGAACAGACAAAAGTGGGATTTGTACCTTTTTTGACTTTTTACATGGATCGTAGGTCAACATATTTCACAAAATTGGGCTTTTTGGCCCACCATTCCTCTATATTTTGACCATTCTAGATGATACTTTTCATTAAGATATTCTATGACAACCCCCCACTGACTAAAGCAGATAGATTTGGGATTTGTACCTTTTTTTGGTTTTTACAGGGATCAAATTTAAAAGAATAATTGTAATGTATGTGACGGGGAACTATGAACCTAAAGACATTTTTCTGCTTATGTAAGTGTTAAAAGTGTTTTGATTTACACAATGCACGAAATTGCATATACCATGTCAAAGGCATTGCTTGTTCAAACATTACCTTTAAAGTTTTGTCGTTGTGAATAACTACTTAAGCAGCAATGAACTGTCCTATATATTATATAAGGTCACAATTTAGAATACTCAGATACATCTCTCAAGTTGGTCCTGTGTTGAGTGTCTTTCCCCTCTGTAGTATATGTTCAAACATTACCTTTAAAGTTTTGTCATTGTGAATAACTACTTAAGCAGCAATGAACTGTCCTATATATATATTGTATAAGGTCACAATTTAGTATACTCAGATACATCTCTCAAGTTGGTCCTGTGTTGAGTGTCTTTCCCCTCTGTAGTATATGTGTCGTAGCTCAATAACCCCTTCCCGTTCTCTTTTGAAATTGCCATCTTCTGATGATCTTTTCAAATTAGGTGGATAGAAGAAGATACATTGAATTCAGCTTTCTAGTTTTAAGATTTTAATAATTTTTTATGTACTTGAAAAATGCAGTTTTTAATTTAAAAAATAGGTTCCTGTAGTAACCTAGTTTCTAATGAAAGAAAATGAAATAAGTAGTCTTAGTTTCAACTATTTTTTTTTATCCTTTCCTCCTATATGTATACAAGTTCCTTAAGTCTAATGTTCCTATACCTTTTTTTTTTATAATGTACTACCAAAGGTACCAACTATCAAATCAATGCATTTCAATCATTATAGGTTTTAGTTTTGTTTTATATTGGTTAATGATGTTATTTACTTCTACTCAGTTTGTCATAGAAACTTTGCTTTATTAATCTGTAAGTTAATTTCTGATTCTGATCTATAGAGTTGGCTTAGTTTTGTTAAGAGTTGATGATAATTTTATATTACACAGTAGTGTATCTTTGAACTTAGTGAAAAGTTCCTTGTCAAAAAAAGTCTAGAAATTGATAGATTTTAGCATGTTTTGCCCGACTATGTTCGGTTGATACCAACCTATAGGTGGGACATAAGACTTTAAAATAAGACATGCTTTTAATTCTTTTAGTAACAACAAATAATTTGACAATTCATTATATGCTATATCCCAAAGTAACCTAATTAACAAAATATTTTTAGATATTCATCAAACCGGTATTTGTTTGTGTGTGTACATTTCTTGTTAGAAACCACTATTCACCTATCTAGCATCTTCTATTCTACAGGGAAGCACACATAACTTCAGTTATGTCCTGCCAATGAAATAACATGAAACATCGCAGGAGACACTTTGCCATTTTATAATACAGAACCATCAAATTTTAATGAGACTGTAACGAGCGTCATGAAATACTTGTTGTATATTTGTACTTATGGAAACGTATTGACATATGCTTTTTGAGGAAACAAAGATGCATCTCGAGCACTATGGCACTTGTTGTGTGGTACTAGCATAAAATAGTCATGCTCAGCTGTGGGGTTCAAAATCCCCCTCATGCCCAATATACCAGTCAAGCTCCTCTATTATCCCCAATTACTTCTGTAGTTACCTTAAAGGGAAGGAGGTCCATACCTGAAAACAACCCGTGTTAGGATACCCACTTGGAAAGGAGGTCCATACCTGAAAACAACCCATGTTAGGATACCCACTTGGGAAGGAGGTCCATACCTGAAAACAACCCGTGTTAGGATACCCACTTGGAAAGGAGGTCCATACCTGAAAACAACCCGTGTTAGGATACCCACTTGGAAATCCTTCCCAAGTGGGTATCCTAACATGGGTTGTTTTCAGGTATGGACCTCCTTACCAAGTGGGTATCCTAACATGGGTTGTTTTCAGGTATGGACCTCCGGTCCATACCTGAAAACAACCCATGTTAGGATACCCACTTGGTAAGGAGGTCCATACCTGAAAACAACCCGTGTTAGGATACTCACTTGTGGTACCTAAGCACATGCGCCACATTTCGTCACACTTGTTTGTGAGTGGGGGTATGAACAAAGTTTTGAACCCCAGGAGGAGCAGGGACACAAGATCTTGTGTCAAATACAGGTCCAACAACCCATCTAGGCACCCGTTGATATGGGGGATAAGCTATATAGATAAAAGGACATCCCTGGTGCCTCCCAGAATTTACCTGCTAAGTTTCTTCCTGTTAGCTCCAAAAGTGTGGGGGAAGTTAGTGGGCAAACAAATGATGTGCAGTATGAGTTAATAGAGAATAATACTAAAGTTTTGAAAATAATCATCTATACACTCATCCTGGTCGTTAAAAAAAAAGTTACACTGAAAATTCACTCGTCCTGGTCGTTAAAAAAACAGTTACACTGAAAATTCACTCGTCCTGGTCGTTAAAAAAACAGTTACACTGAAAATTCACCTGTCCTGGCGACCAGGACGAGTGAATTTTCAGTGTAACTGTTTTTTTAACGACCAGGACAGGTGAATTTTCAGTGTAACTGTTTTTTTAACGACCAGGACGAGTGAATTTTCAGTGTAACTGTTTTTTTAACGACTAGAACGAGTGAATTTTCAGTGTAACTGTTTTTTTAACGACCAGGACTTAAAAAAACAGTTACACTGAAAATTCACTCGTTCTAGTCGTTAAAAAAAAGTTACACTGAAAATTCACTCGTCTTGGTTATTAAAAAAGTTACATTGAAAATACACTTGTCCTGGTTATTAAAAAAGTTACATTGAAAATACACTTGTCTTGGTTATTAAAAAAGTTACATTGAAAATACACTTGTCTTGGTTATTAAAAAATTACATTGAAAATACACTTGTCTTGGTTATTAAAAAAGTTACATTGAAAATTCACTTGTCCTGGTTATTAAAAAAGTTACATTTTGGCGTGTTTTTTTCAGGCATGTAGGAGCTTAAAAAGTTATTTATTTATAAAAAGTCCACAAACAACTTGAATTACCTGTTATTATATTTGCTGAAGAAATCCTTAAAATTGTTTTTTAACTGAATTAGGTCCAAGTTTCTAAACACACATGGTTAACCAAGACATGTTAGAAGGCTCTCATTGACTCTACATAAACATAAGAAAAAAAGATGTATATATATTTATGTGATTTAGTGATGCTGCAGATACCTGATTATACCCAAAAGGTTTACAAATTTTGGTTTAGCAGTCAGTTAGTTTGTCCTCAAGTTTGCTTGTAATTTATACTGTGCTGTTTGCTTATATATTGAAACATTATGTTACTCTTAATTTACATACTCTTGGTAATTTCCCACAACATTTTCAGTCTATTTTGAAATATATTATTAAACCAGAAAGTTCAAAGCGATATTGATGTTTAATTAGAAATGGATACACCATGGAAACGATTGTAAACATATTTAATCAAGTTACAGTTGTGATTGTGATGTTCTTGTAATTAAACTCTAGTTTCCATCAGCTATTGCTGTTACTTCGACGGAGAATTGTTTTCAGTAAATGTATTTTATGTTTCAGTAATATAAATATTTCATTATTTGTTCAGGGAAAACGATGGAACTCTGAGGATGCTTCCAAAGAAGCATATAGATACTGGAATGGGATTAGAAAGGCTGGTTTCAGTTATTCAGCAGAAATCCTCCAATTATGATACAGATCTTTTTGTCCCTATTTTTGAAGCTATTCAGAAGGTGGATGTTTTTTTATGTTTTAGTAGAAATAAAATTTAGTACTTTTTTTTTCAAATATTGGTATTAAAGAATTTGGTGTTTACCTGTGAGGAAAATATTTATTTATGATGTTTTTTTATTACCTTGTTAAGCTTTGTTTCTTAACTTTTAGCAGATATTGCAAAATCACAAAATATTAATTTTCCCTGTATGTATATATATCCTCCCAATCTAATTTCTTTCCTTAGACTCTGAATAATTTACACAGTTATATCCCTTGTTGTGTAAAGATACATTTGATAAAACAAACAGTTGATGATATTATTATCTTTTAAAATTTATAAAAACTTCAAATAACATTTTTCTATCTACAGAAAATTTCTTTATTCTGTACTAACTATTTTTAAGAGTAAAATGATTTTTTAAACATCTTTAATGCAGGTTGTATGTTTAGTTTGGAATTGGGAGTTAGTAGTTTTCATGTCACAAGTTGTATGTTTTATTCAAGGTAAAAAGAGGGGAACCAAAATGTAATAATATGACTGATATTTTCTTAGTTTTGAATATGAAAATATGTAATAAGAATTTAACACTTAAAACCCAATAGATAAAAGATTGCTGTATTTATAAAGATTGCAATAAATTGTACTGTGCCATATTAATTTATTATGGCAAACAATATACAGTATACTACTTTAGTAATCCTTAATTGTGTAACAAAATATTTTAACGTTATAACAGTTTTTGTAATATGAAACCTAAAAGTACTTCATGATTTGCGTTCGCTATCGCAACACGTCGGTTATTTTAGTAATAAAATAGCCACAGAGTTAATTTGTATAGATGATGTCCAGTTACTGCATTTACACGTTTTTACTTCTAACGACTGAATTCTTGTAGTTTAGACTGCAGTAGAAAATGCTGATTAATTGATATTTTAAAACGAATTCTAACTTGCAGAATAAAAAACATGCTTTAATGGCTTGTGCTTGTAATTGCATATAGACTATTCGGAAACTCCAGCCACGTATCTGAAGAAACACTTCATGTATTTTAATACCAAATTTGTATCGTAACATTTACAAATTCATCGGAGTTAGACAATTTTATATTACAAAAAAAAGTTATTCAATGTAGTCAAAGCTTAAGTTAATGAAGGTCAACGAAAGCAAGTTGGTGTTGAAAAGTAATAAATAACCTTGTTTTGTATAAATTTTTCTCTGGTTACATTCTGTTACAACATTTGATGAAAGATACACCAGAAGTTGTTAAAATTGATAAAAAAACTACCTATTCTGATGCATTGGTTTGGTATTAATGTTAGGTTACAGGAACGAGGCCTTATCAAGGAAAAGTTGGTTCTGATGATGAAGATGGAATAGATATGGCCTACAGGGTTCTTGCCGACCATGTGAGGACATTAACTGTCTCTCTTTCTGATGGTGGTCGACCTGACAACACTGGTAGAGGGTAAGGGATGTTACCTCTTCTAAGATTCAAAAGTTAGTTATTAGCAGCTTTTGTAAAGAACATTCTAATTGTGATAATTAGGAAGTTTGAATGTTGGATTTAGGTTAAGAAGATGATGATGTACATAAAATTAACATGAAATATTTACTTGAAATCATGACATCTTTCAGCCACTACAATATGTATATATATATTTTTAATGTTTTCAGTTGTTGAATTATTTTACTCAAGGGGTACAGGTTTAAAGTTTTCAGAAGTAGAAAAACAACAAAAGGAAGACACACGTAACTTTTTTAGTATCTTTAAAATACACTGACAAAAAAGGATGTACTAAAATAGAATTGAATGACTCTTAAGACAAGTATCTGTCTATATAATTTTTAAATTTGGGTGACAAGTTTGCCGTATCATGTAAAATTTCTATTATTGTTTAATGCTTTTATTTATAGATATGTGTTGCGGCGTATATTACGACGTGGTGTTCGCTTCGCTACCGAGAAATTAAATGCAAAGCCTGGAGTATTTGCTGGTCTTGTTCCCGTAGTGATCGACATTCTGGTGAGTGGCATGAAATATTGAAAAACAAAATTCAAGGCTGTATATTACAAATTAGTATAGGCGTATTAATGTTTTTATACTTGTTTCTTTATACTCGTTAATATAATCCTAGTTGTAGACAAGCAAGTAAAATGTTCATGGTGTGTCTACCTAATTGCTATGTACTTATAAAACAAGAGGATGCAAATTATGAAAGATTCAGCTGTGTGAGTGTCTAGATTTATCCAGAAACTTTAAATGTGGACTCAAGTGAGTGTAATCTGAAACTAGAAGTTAAATGCTAGTGGTGATGCTCATATTCTACATCTACATTGCCATTTTCAAAAGCTTAGATGAGGTTATTCTGTTTTTCTTTATTTAGTATGTGTGTTTTCCTTTGAAATGGGGGGTATTTTTGCTTATTAGGTTAGCACTTAATATTGACTACTAATTTAATACTTCAAGGTGACAGTTTAAAAGTCCTTTAGTTGATTTTAAAGAGTTCTTATCCCCTTCATTATCCCAGAAAGTACTGTTAATAAAACCTGGGAGGTGTTACAAGATATTCCTAACAAAAATTCACTCTCAAGTAAATGGTTGAAAGATTAGTGATATTTCATGTTACAAAAACCTATTTAACATTACCAAAACCTTCACTCTCAAGTAAATGGTTGATAGTTCTCCTTAAAATCAGTATATCATAAATGTATTTACAAAAAATAATAATTATAAAGAAACAATCTTCCATGGAATTCATTGTAGATATTATACACGGACTCTGAGTGGAGGCTATCACGTTCTAAACTGTTAACGACTGACACGGATAAGTGTGAGCGAAGTCATTGTAGATATTATACACGGACTCCGAGTGGAGGCTATCACGTTCTAAACTGTTAACGACTGACACGGATAAGCGTGAGCGAAGTCATTGTAGATATTATACACGGACTCTGAGTGGAGGCTATCACGTTCTAAACTGTTAACGACTGACACGGATAAGCGTGAGCGAAGTCATTGTAGGTATTATACACGGACTCTGAGTGGAGGCTATCACGTTCTAAACTGTTAACGACTGACACGGATAAGTGTGAGCGAAGTGCAGAGGAAGTTGTAAGTGGCAATGTTTGCAATATGAGCAACGTGCGAGTTTGCCGAGCGGTGTATGGTAAATTTAGTGCGTGCACACACACACATACATACACAGTTGTAATTTTTACTAGAATTATTACTTACATTGTTTTCTGCTCTTTTGTTTTTTAGGGGGATGTATTTCCAGAACTCAGAAAGGACCCACAAATGGTAGGTACCACAAATACATGGCCTGTTTGAAGTGGTTTGGTAGAATCTGAGTTTAGTGCATCTTTGATACTGTAAATGAGACCTGTAAACACCACATCTAACAAAGATTGTGTTATATACTTTATATGTGAAGGTGCTAACTGTATGTTCCTGTGAAAAGAAGTAATAACTATCTCTGTGATTGTATTTCATTTTTTTTTTCTACAATTTAAGTAACTATGAAATTCTGGTGAAAACTGATACCCTTCACGACTTTAACAGATGGAGAATGAGAGAGTTCAAGAATAAATATTTCACTGGTGTAAAAACTATTAATTTGATTCAAGCAATATTAAAAAAGAACCAAATTTCAGTTTTCATATTTGTTTTCTATAACCTGTTTGTTAGGTTATGGATATAATTAATGAAGAAGAATCACAATTTCTCAAAACACTAACCAGAGGACATCGACTTTTGGAAAGAACCATCAACAAGCTTGGCAATGTAAAGACGTTACCAGGTAGTTGTTCATATGTTATCAAACTTACATTTTATTTGTCAGTAGTTATGACAAATTAGTGAGGTTGTTTTTATTTTGCTAATTACTTAATCTTTATACATTATCATGCTGTTGTGTTTTTTTTTTTTTGTTCAAATAAAATAACATATGAAATGTTGTAATAACTTAGAAGTGTTTTTTTGTTAAAAGTTTTATTTGGATAATTCCATCAAATTTAGCTTTCGTTGAAAGAAATGGGAGTGTTCATCGATGCTGTAGTTTTGGCATGCAATTTTAAAAGAAACTTAATATTTGTATATGCCACAGTTTTTTCACTAAGTTATTAAGTTGTAATATTGCTTTTTATATAGTTGATCAATGTTGATGTATTTTAGGAAGCTGGTAAACGTACCTGGAAAAATACAAATATTTAACAGTAATGTGCATAAATTAATTTAACATTAACATGTAGGCATGTGCTTGAAATTTGTGATAATTGTTAACATTTGAGTAATATATAAATATCACTTCAGGGGATGTTGCCTGGAGGTTATATGACACTTATGGTTTTCCGGTGGACCTCACTCAGCTGATGGTTGAGGAAAAAGGTCTTGGTATTGACTTGGATGGATACGAGGAATGCAAGAAGAAAGCACAGGTATATTTTAATAAACAGTTTTAGTTTTTAATTTAAGGATAAGCGAACATGAAATTCTACTTTTTTTGAAGTCCCTTGGGTTTTGCCTGAATCGAGAGAGAAAACAAGGATTAGGTTTAGTAGTTGTTAGGAAATTAGCCAGAACTTTAAAAAGTTATCTCAATCCTATCACTTAATATTTCTATATTGTATGAGTATATGCAAGATTATCATGACAGTATTTGAGAGTAGCCCATTATGAGAGGTGCCATTGGCCCAACTTTAAAGGATCAGTTCAAAGTAGCATTACCAATTATGTCCAGGTTTGCTGTTTTCCTCATGTTCATGTTGTTAAGATTCTCTTAACAGCTGTTAACAATGGCCTATAGAATAAACAAATAAAATAGGTTTGTTTCTTTTAAAATGGCTTCAACAATCATATTTTATGGTTAAAACTTGTTAAGAACTTGAGTGCATGTTACAGAAGTAGGAGGAAACAGATTTGTGTAGAAGGTCTGCAGAAGCTGAAGTACTGCAAAGGAACGCGTGATTTGTGATATCACTTTAACCCTCTGAATGATATAATCGGATTTATCTGACTTGACATTCATAACCGTTTGGTGCGACAAGCGGATGTACCCCACAGTGTCACAAAAACCATTACTCGGAGTGCAGAACTGAAGTACTGCAAAGGAACGCGTGATTTGTGATATCACTTTAACCCTCTGAATGATATAATCGGATTTATCTGACTTGACATTCATAACCGTTTGGTGCGACAAGCGGATGTACCCCACAGTGTCACAAAAACCATTACTCGGAGTGCACAGTCGGGATACTTGCACTTTCTTGAATTTTCCGCCTTAGTACCGCTCATGCGCACATCATCAAGTGGATTTTGATATTGAAAAAGTTCTAAAAAAGGTCAAATTCTAAATTTTATTTTTTAGTGGATAATTGACACTTTTCAAGAACCCACCCAAAATTTAATTATGCACTCAAAAGGTTTAAAAATGTTTTTAAGTATGCATAGCATACAGATAACAAGGGATCACCTGATCCTTCAAGACTGTCCCTTCAACCCTTCAGAAATTTAACAATTCAAACCTACCCTCTGTTTTACAGGATTTCTCTCATTCTTATAATAAACTGTCAATGGCAACTCATTCCATGACTCAATCACTCAACTAATCCCCCCTGATGATTATCCCCCTTCAATAAGATAATTTATCCTTCTTTCCACAAAAGAAAATGATTTATTAAAGATTTATAACACATACCTGTAAGATAACCCTTTGATCCCCGAAATCATCCTAGTACTCTCCTCCAAATCCTTTTGTTAAAGTCAGTATCCTTTCTTAGGTAAGGAGACAAAAATCGTATGTAGCAGTTCGTGTAAGGCCTATCTAATGATTTGATTAGAAAGATATTTCACTTGTATTCAGTGAAGTATTTGAATTTTCTTCCATATTCATTCTCTAGATCTGCTAAAGTGAAATTAGCACTTTTAATGAAGTAGCTATTAAGCAACCAACGATGTTAATGAAGTTTATAGCTTTGTGTAACTGTTTTTTTGTATTAACATTTACCATATATATTATTTTTAGCTAGTTCGTAATATAATACTGACAAGCTTTATTTTTGATGTAGTTGTAATACTGTTATAGTAAATATATATTTATTTTATCATCAAGAGAGAAACAAGTTTTGTATTTCACTATTTAAAAGTTTTGCTGTTAAAATAACGTTAAAAAAATGATATAATGTCATTGTTCTGCTGCTATTTCTCTGGTTCACAGTGGTTTTTGTGGATGGTTTGATTGATGTTTGTTTTGTAAATGTTAAACTTGTTTGCAGACAAATTAATTTTTTGTTTAGCTTGCTTCTCAAGTACGAGGAGAAGGACAAGATGATAGTGTTAAACTTGTTTGCAGACAAATTAATTTTTTGTTTAGCTTGCTTCTCAAGTACGAGGAGAAGGACAAGATGATAGTGTTAAACTTGTTTGCAGACAAATTAATTTTTTGTTTAGCTTGCTTCTCAAGTACGAGGAGAAGGACAAGATGATAGTGTTAAACTTGTTTGCAGACAAATTAATTTTTTGTTTAGCTTGCTTCTCAAGTACGAGGAGAAGGACA